GATCACTCCTGCATACTAGTCCATAAGCTTCTTGAGGAATTGAAACTTGCTGGCCTCGAAAAGTTATTAAAGACATTGTTAAAATAGTCTAAGTGACTACAGTGGCTCAATCTTAAGTTTATCAAATGACTAGAAAACTTTTTGTGTGCAAAAAAACCAACAAAAATAACAACTTTTTCAACTATTCATTTACTTCTGTCTGGGCCTCAAGTCAGGTTACTAGTTTAATAGTAGTAGTAGTAGTAGCCTTTATTGTCACGTAGTCACAAGTACCAGTGAAATTAGCCATCAACCTATCCATCAGACATACATACAATAAAACAAGGGGGTAGACAGGACAGGAAGACAGAGCATTGAGGAAGAAATACAGCATAACATGAGGAGAGGTGAGGAGAAAAAAAAGGCAACCCTTTTAACCCCCATAATATGCTCCAGTGAGGAGTACAGTTTGGGAACAGTAAAAAAAACACCTCAGCAACATTGGCACATAATCAGTACACTCTACAAAATGAACAGACAAGACTCGCAACAGGGTACGGGAGTGGGGGGTGGAGGTGAACCAGCACAGGCAAGCAGCCATCCGGTACTGCAGCCATTCTCGGCGCTGGTCACAGACCCGCCTGTCAGACTGGGGGGTTAAAAGCGGCGAAGGCGAGGGATGGGGTGTGGGGCTGGTGAATGCATATCTGTATGTATGTGTAAGAGTTCATGTGTGTGTAGGCCTGGAGTGTCGCTATGCCTGGCATCATAATCTAGGTGCCTCAAGTCCGCAGATGTCATAGCGATACACAGCAGGTTGCCGTGGAGAAAACCTTGATCATGTCCCAGACAAAGTCAACAATCACTAGGTGTCCTGGGGAATCGGGGAAGGAATGCGAGAGCGGCTCACTGCAGTGCTCTTCCGGGGGAGTTGTTGTTCCAACAGCGGCCTTGGCCAAGGCCAGTGCTGGTTGAGGGCGGCCGAAAAACAGATAAGATTGGGATTGTTTGGTCTTGGGGCGAAAAGCCGCATTCAATTTACACGGCTAATTCTCATTGTCTTTGGTCTCCTATTCGATCCAAATCCTTCTGCAAAGCTGTGAGCTTCTCCATGATGTTATCCATATTCTGGTTCATAGACACAACGGAATAACGGAAGCTTCTGTTATTGTACGTCACACGCATCACACACACGACCAGCGTCGGCCAATAGTGAGCCTACGTGTGACGTAGCTCTACGCTATCACACTACGTTAACTGACTAGAGGCCCATAGAGAAAGAAGTGAATAGTTGAAATAAAGACGTTATTTTTGTTTGTTTTTGCGCACAAAAAGTATTCTCGTCATTTGATAAGTAAAGATTGAGCCACTGTAGTCACTAAGACTATTTTAACGATGTCTTTAATAACTTTTCGAGGACGGCAAGTTTCAATTCCTCAAGAAGCTTATGGACTAGTATGCAGGAGTGATCCAGCTCTCAGATTTCATCAAAAATATCTTAATTTGTGTTCCGAAGATGAACGAAGGTCTTACGGGGTTGGAACAACATGAGGGTGAGTAAATACTGACAGAATTTTAATTTTTGGGTGAAATAACCCTTTAAGGGGGTCATACTTCCGAAAATAATAATCTGTGATTCTGAATGCCAGTATCCACACCGGCACGGTGACTGACAGATGCACTGCACACTCTCCTTAAACATTGTGTTCATTCGCACTGTGCCGTGTCAAGGGTGTTGAAGTACAACTGACGTAAAGTTCATAAATTCCGCAAATGACTGCAATTGCAGATTCCGAACAGAGTTGGAGCCAAAGAGGGAAAACACCGGACTGCAGCTTTATAGAGAATTCAAAAACTGGCTCAATGTGGCTATATTTAACTCAGAAATGGTCCAACATTGTAACAAGATAAATTAATTAACAATCAAGGTAACTTCCACGGGGTACGAGTACCTGTACATGCTCCATGATATAGAATTCTGTGCCGATGACACTAGTATCTGTGCAGTACATCACAGGGTGAGGAACGGGAAAGCCAACAGAATACAGGGCCTTTTGAACAGCATACTCTCTATCTACCTGCACACACAAATTTAAACAATGCTGAACATGTTTTGTTTGACTGACACCAGTATGATGATATTTAATATTATACATAATTACTGTTTAATCTGTCTAAACAATCTCTGTTTAAACAAAAAATTGACTTTAATGTCCAATAGAAAAGGACACTAAAGAAAAGTCCTGTTGGTCTCAGTGTTATTTTAGTACTATTTACATATTAGTATATTATTTATTAACATTTTATATGGGTGTACAGTAGTAGATAAAGTAGTAGATATAAAAGTGCTATATAAATGCCTCATTCATTCAGTCATTATATATTTTATAATTCAATACTAGTTTGTTTCAGTAATTGTAATTTTGATTTGTGCTTTAGCCATTTTTATTACTTTAGTGATTTAACTTTAATTTCAGCTTTTGTAATTTTAGTACTTTATATTAAGTTATTTGCCAAGGCCACATTTTTCATTTTAGTTTTTTTAAGTATTACGTTTTCCTCTAATGTTTTTTTTTTAGCCTTATTTCAATTTATGATTTTTATTTTTATTTTTTTATTAGTTTTAGTTTGTTATACAAATATCCACCGGTCTCATCCAAAATGCACCAATTTAGAAATGTTAATAGGAATAGATGGCAAATAGTAATTTTTTTTTTATGGCAGCAGATATTAGAAATCTGCTTTTAGAATCTATTCTGCTTTTCTGCTATTAGAAATAGTTGAAAAACGTGACAAAATACAAAAGATGGATAACTGTTAGTTACCTGGCATAGAAAAGGTGTAAAGCGTTTACTGAGACAAAAACAAGTGTATAATCTTGCACTTTTTCACTTAGTTTTCTTTGGTTCTGTGTCCCTCTGCTGATTACCTTAGGCTACTACATGCAATTATGTGTTGCGTAGTCAAGTAACGTTAGTTACTGGTGTCAAAGTCCTTTCTGCAAGTTCACAACAGCGTTTGATTGACCCAACTAAGCTGTATTAAACTCACAATTACAATATTCTATAAATATGCGTGTTTTTCTGCTTTTTTTTTACATTAATGCGATATTTAACAATAGTAGCCCAAGTTACCTTATGAGCTCCAGGCAGCAGTTCTCCTGGAGGTTTCTTTCTGAGCACATAGCGCTTGTCTGCAGTCTCAATGTAAAACGTTGGGTTGGACTGACCAGCCCTATTCGAAACAAATAATAAAATAAGATACAATACAATAACAAACAAACAAAGCATGGTTTTTGATTGCATGAGGATGAGGTGCAATTAAAAAATGTGTTGGGAGATTTCTTACATGTACTGCTGCACAGTTAAAGTTATGTTGCCTGAAAAGCTGTCAAGTTTCCCTGACAAATATTTTTTCAAGTTATTGGTGTCAAAACGATGTTCTGGACGGACAGCGGTGATTTGGCGATCCATGACGACGTTAAATGAAACTGAGAAATAAAGTTCACGATTCAAACTGTTGCTGGATATTTCAAAATAAAAGTCGTCGACTAATGAAGGAAACAATGATCATAAAAGTCCTCCATGTAAAAGTCCCACTTCTGAAAAGTGGTACAGGAAGCACTTAGATATTTTATGGGATAACGACTAGGGTGACCGACAGCATATACCCCTATGGGACTGTCATTCTGCATGTTTCAATAAACTGTTATTGATTCAAAGCTCTGATAAGACATTAAAGAGATGGTCAGATAAATTGATAGCATGTGCTTAATAACTGTTTACAATTTGACCTTTTAAACGGTATTAAGCAAAAAAATGAAAATTGACAACTAGTTTAGCTGCAGGGTGTACGTGTGCAAATTTATTTAACAAATTAACTAAATAAATAAATGACTTTTTTCATGTTTAAATTTTCATATTCAATTATATACACTATAAAAAAGATCTGACCATTGCCTTGATCAAATTTCAATAAATGTAATATTTTTAATGATTATAAATTTCTAATTTCTGATATCCCCTAAGCCAGTGTAAATGAGAATGTAGACCATATACAGCTTGTGCATTATTTTATTTCTTTTTGGCTTGCTCAGTTGGGCACATTCAAATGAATTAACCAATCATTAATACCATTGATCAGCTCTACCAAACGTGGATGTTTTTTCACTAAGAAACAAACATTGTTATTATGTTTTGATTGTTACTGTGAAGCTGCTTTGATGCAATCTATATTATGAAAAGTGCTATATAAATATACTTGACTTGATTTCTATTAAGCATTTAGTTGTGTTTGTTTTGTGTTCTTCAGAAAAAAAAGAGAAATTTCTTACAAATTTAAATTACACATATACTTCCATTCCGTTTGTGGTGTTTTTGAAAAAAAGTATTTTATGCTCACCAAGGCTGCATTTAGTCGATCAAATTATGAAATATTATTACATTTTAAAATAGGCATTTTACATTTTAATATCTTTTGACATGTAATTCATTTATGATGTCAAAGCTGGATTTTCAAGAATTACTCCTTCAGAAATATTCAAATATGCTGATTTGGTGGTCATACTCAAACTGATCATACTGGTTTGGTGATCATGATCATGTTTTTTTAGGATTCTGATGAATAAAACAGAAACATATTTTGTAACATTATATGCATCCTTGTTAGAATTATTCATTAATTTAAAATTATTAACCCCAAACTTTTCATGGGTAATGTGTATTCAAACCGTCTATTTTATATAATAATCTGACAGTTCATACAATAATATTATGAATGAACAGCAGGTGTCAGTAAACTTTAAATAAAAAAAACAGCCTATGATGGTCTTCAGGAAAAAGGGTAAAATGAAACAGTATTTTTAATATCCAAAACACGTCCTTTTAGATGTGATTTGTGGAATCAGGTGTTGCATATGAACTTGCTATGATTATCTTTCTGTGAATAAAGTTGATTTAAATTAGCAAGTTTGATATTATAACCTGGGGATTCTGAAGAAGAAAACAATCTAAAACATAACGCAAACTCATCATTATTTACTCAAAAGCTTTAGTAACATGTTAATAAATTATTCACAATTTTTGTATATCATTTCAAATCTGTATGCAATATCAATAGCAATACATGATGATATGGTGCACATTATTCCTTGACCCGTCAAAAATGCTAGCATATAAAAGTATGTACAAAGTGAAACAGTGAAATAGTTATTTTCAATGCTTACAAAAATAAAATAATCATTAAAATTCGAATGAACAAAAAGGAAATAATAATAACCTCTGTAAAATCATTTGTATTGGATATGTAATGGACATTTGGTCATGTCCATGTACAGTAGGCCTACTTTACTTTATGCAAACACAGTCTATTCTTGTGCTATTGTGTTTGTTTTTTGTGCAACATGACTTCAGTGATATCTCTGGCATTTTGCTCACATGCATCCAGGTTTAGATTTGAAAAAGGAAGTCACAATTTTATGGCATGATGGCCATGACTGTCGGAAGCTGTGATAATATGTATTATATGCATCCTGAAGAATAAAACAATTAAACCAAGCAACATTACTTGCAATTTGCAAAAATATATACATATAATCTCAACTGTCTCATGGGTAGCAGGAAAACATGAACGTATTACAAAGTAGGCGTGTGTTTGTGCATTCATGTGCGCGTCTATATTTGTGTAAGTAGGAGCCGTGAGCCAAGTATGTATGCAAGTCTTTTGTGTTGAAGAGGAAGGAAGAAATTTCAGTTACTGTCCATATTCAGTGAGTCGAAGAGAGGTCATAAGCTAATAAAATTCACTTCAGAAATGTCTTTATACATTGGCAAATTTAATTTAACTAACCCCAAAGTACTGAGGCAAAAATGCATTTAGTACTAAGGCAAAAATGGCTGTTACGATTAATAAAGCAGTGATTTTTGAACAAAATCAAAGGTTTGTTGAAATGGGTTTTCATTTTGCATGTCCTTTTTTCAGGATTTGGTCAGCATTTTATGTCCAAGTTCTTTTACTATCCCAACCTTCCATTTTGACAAATCCTTATGCAAATCTTCTTCTTCAGAATCATACACTAAAGCCAAGGGATTGATTCTCATAGAAGTCGGACAGACTATTTCTGAATAAGAAAAATTATTTTCCCGGCAGGTTCTGGGTGAAAAAGATGAATCACTGGTACACTGTGGACTTTAAATAAAAATAAAAAAATAAAATCTTTCAGGCCACCATCAATCTGTGCACCAGAAATAGCAACTTTTTTTGTCAGTTCCTATTATATTTTCTTGTCTACAACATGACTCTAGGTTGGATAATGAGGCACGTTGGTGAATAGAATATCATTTTGGGCTCAGGCCACCAAATCTGATGGACAGATTCTGCGTCTAGTGGTGATCTCTTCATTCAGACTACAGCATAAACACAATCAGAATTAGCCTCTAAATTGCAGCACATCCCATCGCTTGGAAAAAATTACATGCAAGCTATCTGCATCGTAGAGGTGGGGTTTCAGTGCCCCTCGGTAAATGTCCACCCATGCGGAACAGTCTGCATCACTCCAAGATGTCCGTTTCGAAAGGAACCAGGTGGTAGTAGGACAGGTTAGTGACATAAGCTTCAGGATCATCGTCACTCAGGTCTTGATCCACAGGATCCAGAGATTCTCTCCCATCCTCATCATACCTGCATTTTCAGAGATTTGAAAACAATAATTATTTATGAAAACAACATCTTAAGAAAACAATATGACTAAAACCCAGCCAGCTGCCTGCCTAGATTTTTAAGACATCATAGCCATAACTCTATAATAAAGGCTATTTTTACTCTAACAAGACTTCACCTGTTGAATTAAAGGGATAGTTCACCCAAAAATGAACATTTTGCCATCATTTAGTCAACCCTCAAGTTACAAAAAACAAAGGAAGATAATTGAAGAGAATTATCATATGTTGGTCACCAAACAGAGAAATTCAAACAGGTTTGCAACAACTTGAGGGTGAGTAAATAAACTGAAAAGACAGAAATAAGAATGAAATTAGACAGAAATAAGACAGAAATTGCCTTTAATCAGCAGTGTTCAGGATGTAATGAGGAACTGTGTGTATATCATGTATAATTGTGGGAATAATGTCATCAGACATCAAATTGGGAGGGTCTTGAGTTTCATTCCAGAGCTTCCTACACACACCCAGGGAAGGAAGTACCACTTCCTGTGTGTGACACCACTATGCACTCAAGGAAAACATTACATCAAACATTACATTCTGTCATTGGCTGATGTAAAAATCTGTTGTGTGAATGTAATCAAGTGTCTAATACATCAAAGTTTATCACTATACATTTCCGTTATATTTATGTAGAGAATTGGACTGAGATGGCAGAGCAGGCACTTACGAATGCTGGGCTGAGTCAGTGGAGGAGGGTCTCTCTTTGTCCAGTGGAACACTCTCATCAAAAACAATGGTCTCAGTGTTCGCCAGGCAAAACCCATTAGACCTCATGATCTCTGTAGAGTCAATGAATGGTCAGAAATAAAATGATCTCCCAAAAAAGTGTCTAATTTAGTTTTTTGTTATTTATAAAGATAACATAATAATAAGCAAGGCTCTTACAGTATGTGAACCCGTATATATACAGATTTATTAATCATTATATATATACTGTATATAGGCTATATATAGTACCGGTCAAAAAATTTGGAAACATTATTATGTATTAATGTTTTTGAAAGAAATCTCTTATGCTCATCAAGCCTGCATTTACTTGATCGAAATTCAGAAAAAAAATAGTAATATTGTGAAATATTATTGCAATTTAAAATAATGTTGTTTTTTTTTTATTTTAATATAATAATTTTATTTATTTCTGTGGTGCAAAGCTGAATATGCTGATTTATTATCAATGTTGGAAACAGGTCATGGGGTTCACAAATGGACCTTGTAGAGGGGTTAGAGAAAGGCCCAGCCCTTTCTCTGCCCTTACCTGCCAGGTACAGTGCTTTATCTCAGGGTCTGAAAGCACACTTTGTGGTTTCTTCCGCCCTGGGTGAGGCGCCAGTACTGCAATTATCCAGCTCTGAGGAGTTGGATGTTGTTAGTATCGAAACAGGAGATACTAAGGACTTACCACCTCATACTCCTGCATATGAGGAGCTCATAGAGGTCTTGACCCATGCTGTGGCCAAACTTATTATTGACTGCCCAGAAGAAAAAACAGGAGGTTCATCATAAAAGCAAGTTAGATTGAAGATTTCTACCATCTAGGTCACAACCTCCTTGTCTGGGATTGTAATTTCTTTCCGACCTCCACAGGTTTGTAGAAACCTGTATCGTCTTGTGTTTCCAGCCCTCAGACCTCCAATTATTCTAACATCATGGGGCTGAAACACTATGGTTATGGGGTAATGCCCAGGGCTAAAGAGACGCTTGCGAGCTATCTCTCCCCTGAGCCAACATAGTCCCTGAAATCCCTGGCACTGCCCACTAAGCCATTAAGAGACACTTCAGCGCTGGTGGCTAAGGCGTATTCAGCCGCAGATCAGGCCACGGCATGTCTATATACAATGTCAGTTGTCAGAGGCATACCAGGACGACCTGCTCAGAGACATTGATGAAGGCGAGGAAGTAAGTGTTGACGTGATCAGAGAACTGCGTCAAGCAACAGATTTAACTCCACGGGCCACCAAGGAGACAGACAAGTCAGTCAGCCGCTCTATGGCAGCCCTGGTGGCCACGAAGAGGTACCTGTGGTTAAATCTGTCAGGAATAAAGGATAGCTGTCTTCTCTCCTCCTGGCCTCTTCAGCGACTCTGTCACCTTAGTCATTGAGAGGTTACAGGAGTCAAAGAAACAGGTGGCAGCATTCCAAGTTTCTCTCTCACTGTCTTCTGGTATCTGAGGCTGCTGGGCGGAAAAAGCTTCGGCCATCTACAAGATCCTTTTAATAGAGCACAGCAAAAATAGAGCAGCAGAAGCCTTCAAAGGAAAACGTGGATCTGAGGACCGTTATTATCTCTAAGAAGGCTTCGGCGAAGAAGTCCTGACACCACCAGTGTCAGGCTTCAAATGGCAGTCACCTCCAGTGGGAAGTGGTGAACACCTCATTATGCGTTGCCCATTTCCCCTCGGTGCCCTCAGGGGGCCGTTCTGCCAACCCCCTCCGGCCAGCACGTATCCCAGTGACCGCCCGGAAACCTAGCTGCGCTAGGACGCTTGCCTCCTCTGAGGAGGGTCTCGGGGCAGTAAGTTTGGCCATTCCCTGCTGGTTTGCCACCTCAGAGCACCAATTAAATGTTCAAGTAACAGCAGAGGCCAGTCTCGAGAGACTGGTACCCTTAGTACATTTTCTGGCAGCGTGGAAACTACTGCAGAAAAAATCTCAATGGGTTACAGGTTACAGAAAAAGGTTACAGAATTCAGTTCGGGTCTTGCCCGTCCAGGTTCAATGAGGTTCTATCCACTGTGGTAGTCCCCAAGCAGGCTCTTGTTATGGAGCAAGAGGTAATGGCTCTTTTGGACAAGGGGGCCATTGAACATGTTCCTCCAGCCAGCAGGGATTCCGGGTTTTACCGCCCGTACTTTTTTGTAGTTCCAAAACAGGATGGGGGGTTAGGTCCAAACTTAGATCTGCGCCATCTAAATCGATCTTTAAATAAGCTCAAATTCAAGATGTTTGTTGTGATAGATCTCAAGGATGCATAATTCCATGTCTCCATCCTTCCACAACACAGAAAGTTCCTGAGATTCGCTTTCGGGGTAGTCTGGGTTTCCCAAACACTGCCTTCCCCCAGCGTGATTTTATTCACGCTGAAAGGCAGTCTAGATACCATGGGCCAGGTATTCGCCTCATTTAGGGAACCAATCACAGAACGGGGAGGGAGCAGCAAGACGACATCTATGCCACACACCGAAGCAGTTTGTTTATATCTATGGATTCAACATGGCAGCAGACGCGAAGCTACCTTTTGATGTAGCCTTAGATATTGTTTTAAGTAGTTTAGAATGCAAGTTTATTTAGAAAAAAGAGCCACTTTTGGCGTTAAACTTCGCGAGACCCAAGTCGTTATTGTTGTCTCGCCATTAATCGCCCTAATGGAAGACCGGGTACAGGAGGCGGTCAACCTTGGAATATCTGCCGCTCAGTTGTGTCCCGAGAAAGAAAATGCGATAAAGAATTGTCGATACCAACTTCTGTTCGGCAGTCCCAAGGCCTGGATGAGCGCAAAAACATATTAGCCACGGAGTTGTATAGTACCAACCTGCTAGGCATCGTCGTTGACGAAGTCCATTTAACTTATAAATGGTAAGAGGTATTTATTAATATCATATTGTCATTATGCCTGTAGACTACCAACTGTGGTTGTCACAGTGCCACTAAGTTGTGTTGTTTTTCAATATCAATATACAGCTACGCTTTAGTAGCATAACTTTCAGCTGTGCACACGTACCCGATTAAAGTTGTTGACACTTTAGTCATTAAATTAAATTTTTATTTTTTTATAAGTTGTGAAGTACAAGCGGAATCAATTTACAATGCAAATAACAACTTCAACATCTATGTTAAACTGTACTTAATACTTACTGATACATATAGGCGCATTTGATAGACATTCTTAGCACCCAATAAACGGCGCCGGGCATTCGTATACCATGCCTCAAATACGAGAAATGGTGCACGTGGTTCCCGGAACAAAGTCTCAACGAGAATTGGTTCTGGCGTTAGCCAGGCTACTTTTGGGGGCAAACTGTACTAATATCAGGTTCTTCTTTTTGGTCTAGCTTTATCACCCCGCACTTTCACGAAATGTGTGGATGCAACTGTGGCTCCACGGGTACTCCAGGGCATTTGCTTGTTGAATTACATCAATGACATTGACGATTGTTCAGCATCGAAATGTCGTTCTTGTCCATATGAGGAAGTTGGGGTTTGGGTTTAACGGCATGAAGAGTTGGCTTCTTCCAGCTTAAAGAACCACATTTATAGGCGTTGTTTGGGAGTCGACGATGATGTAGGCATGTCTGTCTCCTGCTAGTATTGGTTAGAATCTCTCAGCCATAATTGTTGGGTCACATGGCAGCTGCATCCAATGTGATACCTTTTGGTGTCAGTGGTGTCGCAACCCTGAGTGGTGTCTCAACCCTGAGGAGAAACCCGCTTTGCGTGATTAAGGTCACGCGGCGATGCCTACGTGCCTTGGTTATGTGGGAAAAAAGTTTAGGGCTCCTTGTCATTGCATAACGCTAATGACGGAATTGGTTTGCAACAGGACTTGTGATGCGGCAGGATCCATTTCTGGGTATAGGGTGCTTTTGTCTTAGTGTTGACAACGATTTCACACGCTAGTACGACTTAGCTTGAGTTCCCTTAAAAGGAAAAGTCTCAGGTTACAATTGTAACACTGGTTCCCTGAAGAGGGAATGAGATGCTGCATCGCCCTGCTATACTCCCTGCATGCCTGTGGTCGACTTGCTTCAGCCTATCAGAAGCTAGCTCTGTTTGTTCCGGTTATGTTTTTAGTTTCCTGATCGTGAAGTCTCCCGCCTCTGAAGATCCGTCACACCAATGGGCTGATTTCACATATGCTTAATGATGCAATCACGCAGGGGCATTCCCACAGTGTCTCGACTAGACGTGTATTCGGTAATGTGATAAATCACGGTAATGAAAATGCATGATATTGTTATCACGGGCACTTCAAAATACAGTGAAAAATAATAGATTCGAATTTAGACTTTTAGAAAGCGCATTAGCTTATTTTTCATCAACTGCTTAAACACTGGGTATATGCTGTGCAAAACACATGCGTTCTCTGATGTAAACAATTCCCACATGTCAGTCCTAGACTGTAAAAATTATGTACAAAGCGTCTGTGACGTCACCCATAGAATTTCTGAAGAACAGGTTTGAGGCTGTTTATGGGGGGTATGGGCAGCGCCATACTGGAAAATATTGGGAAATACAAAATGCAAATGTTCAGAAAGGATACAGAGGTGGTATGATGTGTTGTGTCAGATCATGGCCGAGACGTCAAATTACACTCGGCGCAGCCCGTTATCAGCTGTCAATCAAAGTTAAAGGGTTAGTTCACCCAAAAATGACATTAATTACTCACGCCCATGCTGTTCCAACCCCGTAAGACCTTCGTTCATCTTCGGGACACAAATAAAGATATTTTTGATTGAATCTGAGAGCTGGATCACTCTTCCATAGGCTTCCTATGGGACTGGCTCTTGACGGCCCATAAAGTCATTAAAGAAAAGGTTTAAATATTCCATGTGCCTACAGCGGCTCAATTATAAGTTTATGAAACGACGAGACTACTTTTTGTGCGAAAAAAACATAAATAACGACTTTATTCCACTATTCCATTACTTCCTTATGGGCGCATGCGCGAGAACTGAGACGAGGACGTTCTCATTCATCTACTTCTTGTTACCGGCTGCTCACCGCTTAGGAGTTTTTCCGCCACCTACCGTATAAAATGATGATCCATATATAAGGCGCTCC